CATTGTAGAAGCTTGAAATTATAATATATATATATATATATAGATACACAAAATATGTGCAAGCAGGTAATTTAACTTTTTTTCTTTTTCATTCTTTCCCCTAAAATGATTGTTTTTACTTGAATTTATAGGTTGTAATTTCACAATAAAGGTATCAGACTCCTGACTGTCCTGGTTCGGTGGTTTTTACATGAACCTGCCGTTTCATCAGAGATGTTCAGACGTTCCTACCACCGTTCCTCCACTACGGTCTGTGCTGCATGTATGAGTGTCGGTACCTGATGAGATGAACACGTTGCAAACGAGCAGTTTTCTGCAGCGAAGATGTTTTCGATTTCGAGGCTGCCGGCGTCTGAAACCACGAGTAAAACCCTCTCTTATTAGCTGCATCCTCATTAGTCAAGGCTTTTCTGCAGAAGCGTGCACGGCTACCTGTCGGCAGCTGAACGGGAAGCGGAACAGTCGGATCTTCTCCACGTCCCAGCTGGCCCTGGTCTCCACAGCCAAATGAATAAAGCCTCCTGGTGTCTGTCAGCACCAGCGAGTGACGTCTGAGGAGACAAAACAACCATCAGAGCCTGAAACAGACTTTTATTAACAATTTTCCTGTTCATAGGAGCATTTTGAAGCTTCATGTAATAACAATAAAGTCATATTTCCTTCAATAATACGTTTATTTTTGCGCCAAAACATTTAAAATCCAAACAAAATAAAATGGAAAAACCGACGTATTAGACAACAGAAACTACAACGTGTTGCTGTAAGTCCCTCAAAAGCTGGTGAAATGTCAAATAAAGACTGTATTTTGGATTCACGTCATCTTTGGTGACATGTGACCAAAGACTGGGTTCTAGTAGAACCATGAATCCATCCATAGACAGACACTGACAGGAACTTTATGGATCAGCACCAGCCATGTATGAACATTCAGTCATCGTCTCTTTTCCATTTTCTGAGGGATAATTAATTAAAAGTTTGCTTCTTCTGGAGCCATTCAGTCATGTAGATCTGCTGGAAACTATTCTGTCTGCATCCAAACTAACTTTAAACTTGTGAGAAATGACTCACAGTTTGTACTAAATGAGTCAGAAAATGTCCCAAACTACTTAAAATCAGTTCAAATTTCACAAAATTGTCCAAAATGACTTAAAACCTGTGGGAAATGTCCTAAAAACTGCCCAAACTGACGACGTCAGAGGCCTCAAACATTGGTTATATGTCGACCAAAGACTGTAGTTTAGTAGGAAACATGGATCCATCCATATAAAAACACTTTCTGGGGATCAGTACCACCCATGTTTGGACATTACACACTGTCTTGTGTTGTCAAGGGCCAACGTTGGTAAAATCACTGAAGATATTATTGGTAAAAAGAATAAAACAAAGAGGCGTGCTGTACCGTCCACATGCCACCTTGGTGACCTTCGCCCCCCAGAGTTCGGCCACCAGCCGAGGACGGAGCTCGTCTCTGGTCGAGTTGTGTCCGAGCTGTCCGAACTGACCGGAGCCGAACGTGAACACCGAGCCATGCTGAGGAACAAACCACACAGCTTACAACAGTTTACATTTACATTCTGCAATCGAATGAATAGTCATTAAGAATGTGAGCAATTAAAAAAAGAAGAACACGATGTTGTAAATGTACCATAGACCAGCTGTACTACCTGGTTGTTCCACCAGGTGGCGCCTCTGACTGTTTAATACAGTAGAGACCAGAGGAGGCGTCACTCACGGAGCATTGTGGGAGTTTAATACCTACCAGACGGAGCTTTGCTCTAATTTAGAACTGCATAGTTTTATCTCAACATGAGCAGATTTTTTTCTTTTTCCTTTAACATTTTTCCAGTTTTATTTAAAGCTACAAAATCTTATCTTACAGATTTTTCTGTTTTATTCATTACTACATAAAGTCCTGTTTTAAAATGTAAAAAATATTTAGAACAGCATAAAGTTCTGTTTTATTTTTAATTGAATTTTCTTTCTATGTAGAATTACATATTAGTATATATATATATATATACTATACACTATA